TTGACCGGTCATCAATGGGATTTTCACCCCCAGCAATGACCAGTCAAAACTGGTCATTGCTGTTAGTAACCCCCCCCCCCCAAACACCCCCAGTGATGACCGGTCATTGATGGGAGTAAACCCCCCCATTGATGACCGGATTGATGGGGGTGTTTACTCCCATTGATGACCGGTCAAAACTGGTCATCAATGGGAGTAAGCACTCATTGATGGGAGTGTTTCCTCCCATCAATGACCGGGTTCGACCGGTCATTGATGGAGGTGTTGTCCCCCATCAAGGACCAGTTTTCACCGGTCATTGATGGGGGTGTTTATTCCCATCAATGACCGGTCAGCACCAGTCATCAATTGGTATTTTTACTCCCATTGATGACCGGTCATCAATGGGGGTGTTTGGGGGGGGGGGGGGGTTACTCCCAGCAATGATCGGTCAAAACCGGTCATCGCTGGGGGTGTTTACTCCCATCAATGACTGGTCAAAACCAGTCATTGATGGGGGTGTTTGGGGGAGTTGACTCCCATCAATGACCGGTCATTGCTGGGGGAGTTTACTCCCATCAATGACCAGTCAAAACCGGTCATTGCTGGGGGTGTTTAATCCCATCGGTGACTGGTCAAAACTGGTCATCAATGGGGGTGTTTGGGGGGGTTGACTCCCATCAAGGACCAGTCAAAACTGGTCCTTGATGGGAGTTTGTCCTCCCATTGATGACCAGTGTCATAAATGGTCATCAATGGGAGGACTGTATGGGCCAAATTGGCTGATGAAATCATTTTTTTTTTCATTAATTTTTTTTTTCAATTTTCATTTTTTTTGGGCAAAGTGGCAGTTCAGTACCTTCATACAAAACAAACAGGAATCTGAAAATCATGGACAGGTGACTAAGCAGAAGAGTGTCACCATTGTTCATGGTCCCCCAGTCAACTAGGCCCTGACTAGCGGTCTCCCCTGCACACAGACGCAAAGAGTGTTGGCGGTCTGACCGCTCACTAGACTTTCCAGATAAGAGGTGGGAACTCCTTTTCTCAGTGCCCATTGCTCCCGCTGGCTAGTTGACAATCTTTCCCTCTCCTACTAGCCTCCCAGTCCTCAGTCTTCTTTTTTGTCAGGATAACTCCGACTGAATTAGAAAGACCCAGGATAACAAAGACCCTGAAGTAGTCCCAGGATGATGACAACCCTGAAGTAGTTAATTTACTCAATTTTACCGAACCATCATCAACTCAAAAAAATTTAAATCATCAACAAACCACGCTTGATATTTGTTTGATATTCCAGGAGAACGAAACCTGAAGAGAGAAGCAGTGACACCTTCTCTGATCATTTTCAGAATTGGCTTTTTTATTGTGAGCAGCAAACTCTGATATACAATGATCCGCATCTTTTATTGTTCTGACCCATTGGTTTCTAAGCTCAGTAGCGCTGAAGCAGAAAACAGTCATTATCCAAATTGTTCTCACTTTCCAATAGCGTTGTGAGCAAGTTTGCCTAATATGATAACAGTGTCATTGTCAGTTTTGAATTTATTCTAATGTTTGTTGTTTACTCAACAATCTTTTTTAAGATTTCAGACAGAGGGCCAAAGGAAACGCATGACTGGAATGTCTTCTTTCCTCACAAGTAGTACCCTGTCGAGCCGATTTGGGTTGAATATAATGTTCAGCAAGCGTAGAGTGTACCGCTCATGAGCAGGTTGGCTGAGATCATGGTCCCAAACTGCCAAACTTTAGTGGGATCATGAATCGGTCCCTGCGTGCTGTCAGCTGTTGCTTCTGGTGACACAGCATGAGGATGCAGTTTGAATTGAAAAGTCTGGGTGACGCTGCGGGACGCAGCAACACCTATTTGTCCGTAGTGTTTAACAGTTTGTCACCTAAATGGTTCATAAGTGCAAATTTTTATGCAAAGCTAATTTTCCGGCTTAATTTAGAATTTTGACCCCCCAAGTCATGTGCATTTTGGAATGAAATTTGACATCACTGCATTTAGCTGTTTTCACATCACCACCCACCTGAAATGAAAATTGGGTGCTTTCAAAAGTGTCCGAGTGGTGGACACTCTTGATTGAGAGTGTCCAATGGATGGTTATTTTCTACCGCCCAGAGGATGGTCTTGACCACCAGGTGTCACTTGGATGTTTTCAGAAGCATCCAAGTGATGCTTGGGGCACCAGAGCATCCCTTGGATGCTTTCATAGCGTCCAAGGGATGCTCTTTCTCAGAAAACGACCATCGGATGTACAGGTTTCCTAAAACCCCGCCCTGTGGTGTACAGCCCCTTGACAGAAAAAATAGAACCCTTTAATTGGAGTCTAGAGGGCAAACAATTGGACTTCAATTTATGCTTCCTGGTGAAACTGGAAAATGAGTCCTAAAGAATGATTCTGACAAACTTGGCAGGAAATCTTTTTGTATTTTTTATGGGGATTGGAAAAACAGCTCCCAAGGATTTGTTGACAACTCCCAATTACGGTTGTTGGACGTTGCTTGGGAGTCGTTTTCCCAAATGGATGGCTGACTTTGGGAGTTGGCCATCTATTGATATTATTATTATTTTTAATTTTATGGGAGTTGGCTCCCAAAACCACCCCTCATGTTTGAGGTGTTTTGGGAGTTGTTCCCACATGACCGGAAGGATTTCCTTCCGGTAAAGGAGAAACAACAACCCCATCGACCCCCTTCTGGTCAATGAAGTTATTATGCCTCATCAACCAGAAGGGATTCCTTCCGGTTGATGAGGTATAACAACATTATCAATTGGAAGCAATCCCTTCTGATAAATACCCAAGTATATTGATAAGACAATGCCATAACACAATCTTTAACCATTGCACTATATTACATGTACTTGTAAGGTAGGTTCAGGTTGTAGACACATGGGTTACAGCCTCAGTGTCTGACAACAACCCTAGCCTCTGGTGGTGGCATTGAGGAAGATGTTGACTTTTTTTCCAAAGCCGTGCCAGAGCCCTACAGCAAACTGGTAGCGTACCTTGGGGGTAAGTATTGGATGACTGCTTAACTTGTTGGAAGGTGGGTTTTTTCTTTTCATATTTCAAGATCTGAGTTAAAAAGAAAAATTTCACCTCATCATTTGATCTTTCTTTGAAATACAGCAATACTTGACTGAATTCCCAGTGGTGGTGCTACTTGCACAAGACTACCTGGCTACAAGTGTGGAGCAATGATTTTTGGACACTCTGCATGTTTGTGGGCAAAATCAAGGTAACTTAGCTGCCAAACCAATTGAGAGATGTGGAATTTCACACCAAAGGATCACTCAAGGGATCAAGCCTGATGGCTCCTTCCAGACGGCCCAAGACTTAATCTCCAGTACTCAAGCAGAATTGAAAGCAGCCAAGACCAAAAAAAACACCTGCCACTTCAACTTCAAGTGTCAAAGGTTAATTTCATGTCTATGAGTTTTTTTTATCTTTTTTGCCCCTTATCTGTGGCCTCTACCAGCCCCCTTCCAATCTATTACTATCAATCTCACCCCCCACTCAGTCTCCTGAGTTTCAACTCCCATGAAAACTTGAAAAAAATCTGCCATGAATAAAAATATGGTTGTAACTTGAATATTTCTTTAGAATATAAATGAAATTTCTAATTACTTTTCCAAAAAAAAATCTCCATGTGAAGACGAAATCAGGTGTATTTTCACTTCTGGTTTTTTTATTTTATAATTATAACTAGTATATGCCCCCAAATTTGGGGAGGCTGCTTGTTTTTGCCCCGGATGTTGGGTTTAACTTGATGCCCTATGGGGTTTTCTTGAGTTGGACACCTGTCTGCCTCGGTCTAACACCGGCGTCATCAAGTCCAACAAATGTGAATTGGAGGTTGATGCCAGCGTTAGATTGCATGACAGTTTGTTTGGCTCTCTAAGCCTATTTTTTTAGTTATATGTAGATAGCAGAAAATTGAACAAAATTGAATTTTCTTGGCCAAAAAAATGCCCATTGGAGTGATCCCATAGATACCCAATTGGTATTGGATCAGTATTGCAATGTGATACCAATCTCTCATGCTCAGATACCGTCTGTGCCAATCCGGTACCATGGGTATTGGATCAGAAGGGCAATCCAACCCCCAATTTTCAATCCCTAGGATCAAACACGCAATCCCATCCAATAAAATGGCCAATACCATATTGGATTGGATCTGTTAGATTGTTGTTACTACCAATTCAACTGAAGGCTTGTTGCTGAGGTGTCAATTCAACTGGGGGTTACAGCCTGTTTTAACTCAAACAATTAATAAGTCAAATACCATCCCTGATCAAACTGCAGCTCTAATCCCACAATATAACAAACAGAAAATGTGATCAAAAATTATTTGCCAAAAAAATCTGTTGGGAGTTTACATTGAGCTGTTGAGGCATGGGTCTAGGGGTGTCCAGTTGAAAATCGACACATTCAGAGGGAAAGCAGGTTAACTCAACTTCATATTGTTCAAACACATGTTTTTTGTGCATTTTCTCAAGACCCTTGATCAAAAAGATTATCATAGAAATTTCGCAGGGTTCTGAAGGGAATATCTACTTGTGTATTTATGTGATTGCAAGCATATTGAAACAGTTTGATTGATTGGTTTTGAACAATTGTTGATACATATACACGCAGTTCAATTTTGGAAAGTTTTGAGGGATTTGTAAATAAGTGGTAAATAGGTCTTTTCCTGAAGGCCATTTGTAGGATTCCCGCCTTGATCTAGCTGGCTGCGATTACAAACACCTACACAATGTTATTGTTAAAATTGGAATCCCGAAAGGAGCCTAATACTTTTCATCACAGTTTGACGCATGCATATCTTCCTCCATGAGGTGAAAGAACTAAAAAGAATGACCAGGGATAGATGAAAATCAGCTGTCATGGGCATATCTTAGGTCTCATCTGGCATCCGATTTAAAAACTCACCCCCTTGAAATCTTTTCTGTCACCATAACAGCAGTTTGCGTTCTCAGCAATTATGTTAGCAATCGTCTCGCCAGCACAGTTATAGAAATCCGGCTTTTCCTTCGATAGCGGGGCCACCATCGCTGAACAATTGTTTGTCAAAAAGGGGATGTTGAATTAAATTTTGGTGCAATTCAGAAACAACATTATACCAAAGCACATGAAGTAAGTTACTTACCCATGCGCGACGGTTTGTCTTTCCCGCTAACTAGTTGAGCTATATCTTCCGGGGTGGCGTGTCTGGTGCATACTTCAAAATACCCGCCTGGGCATTTGAAAGGGAGTTGGGTATTGATCACGCTGGTTACCAAGTTGATAATGGGAAATAAAAGCCAGGTAGAGATCTGCATTGTTAATAATAACGGAAATTCTGATAGGTCGAAGTTCTGAACGTGATTGTTTGGGCTGATGTTGAATGGCTGGGGTGGTAAGCAATTTCTCAGCTGTGCGGGAATTTTTAAGAGCAGGTGAACCGGAAGAATGAGAAATGGAACTATTGGAAACATGAGAAGGTAAAAAGGTGTATCCGATTGATTGGTAAATTCATGTGTATCGCAATATGGAGCCAGTATCAGCACCGGTGCACATTGGATCCATGGCAAAGCTTCAAGCCTTTGTCATTGCCACAAGTAAAACCGAATTGTACAGGAGAAATTGAGGAGAACGGCTAGTCGGGATCGGCCATCACCCAGACAACCAACGGTTTGTGGGTTGGCTGTAAGGTCCAAAACGCGCGTTGTCATCATCCAGATCCAATGGCCTCCCCCTCGGCTGAATGTGCCATGGCATCGTCGCTCGTGTATGCGCGTACAGATAAATCGTTGGTAGCGATCAAACAACACAAGCCAATTGATTGCATTTACGTGTTTCTTGGAGGTCTCTTGCGGCCCGTATTTTCATCGCATTGCTGCTGCACATAGCGGAAAGTTTTCACGAGGCTTCGTAACGCACAGAAATCTTGATATAGGATTCTATTTCGTGTAAAGATGAGGTCGTGTCAATTTTGATCTTGCCTAGAATACAAATCTATCAATGTCAAGAGAATAATGCTAAGAGATTGAAGAAAAAAACCCTGAAAAAACAAACTATAGATCTCTCCAAAGGCCGTGTAGCAAAAAACCTGAAAAAAAAATATTGTTCTCGCCAAAGACCATGTTGTTCTCAATATGAGGAACCGCGACTAAAGAAAACGCGCCCAGTTTTTCAGTTTCCGCACACGGAGACATTTGTGCTTAGGCTTTCTCCTCAGATCAAGATACCAGATACATAAATTGTCTCTCTGAGTTGAAAACAATCTTTTGAGAGAGCTGTCCGTCAGGACCGACGTCGTCTTCCCATTAGACGGAGTATGTAGACTCTTGGTTAAGCGGAAAACGACCCTCCCGTCCGAACTCAAGATGCTCAGTTGGCCGCCCTTTGATAAGTCCACGCTCTCTTGTATTATGTAGTCGTTAGGGGTATCTTGTGCGTGCATGGTAAGCGGAAGGGACACCAATAGGGTGATGAAGGCGAGTGTGCTTGGGAATTGCATTGTTAAGTGGTTAGGAGGTGATGGTAGATAACCTGATGACGGAAGAAACACCACTGTCAAAATTTGTTTATATGAGGCTCGCTGACGGTGCGCTATTAAAGCAGGCTTGACAAAAGAGGTCGGAATTCAGCGATCCACAATGGTGCAGATAGGCGATGAAGAAGCTGACAGGAGAAAAAGTAATTGATGGGATGAGGAATGCTAGGACGCGTGGGGAAGTAGAGACTTTTATCCCCGAGATAACATGAGCAGAGCACCCAAAAGCCAGGTGAAGGAAGCCGGATCGACAAGCCACCATGGGGATGGGCTAACGATACAAGGCCTGATTAGCTCTACAAGCACACCCAAAGATATTCCCTACACCCCACAAAGATTTCCTTACGACGATCCCTTTTCCTTGTGTGAGACGCGAATCGCGTCCTCCCCAGCACGAAGGGTGCATGCGGACCTTTTGCTTACAGGCAGCATCAGTATCCATGGGGTTGGTCAGCGGGCAAAGTTAACGATCCCCTTTTAAGAGAACCTCGCAGGGTCTCTGCAATACTGTCTCACAGGGACAAAAGACCCCTTATCCGCGATTCGATTGGCGTGTTTCTGGAGAGCCTGTCTGTGAGACAGAGAGGCTAAGGCTAACCTGAAATAGTAGAAACCACCAGCGGATTGTACTTAAAGAGGGCAGACATGAAGAAATCAACCAAAACTCCCATGTTCTATTTGGGAGAGTTGAGCACATCAGCACCAGTAGCGGAGACTATGCCACTATTACATGAAGAGAGCCTCTCAGGCCTAATCTGAGGCTTCATTTCTGGTCAGACCCGAGACTCTTCATCGCTTGTTCGTAGTTGACCCAACTGCAAGACTAACGACTATCATCCCCGTCTTTCGTAACCGCGTGAAAATGTAGCGCTGGTTTAATACGAGACTCGGGCGATTCGGATGTCAAGAATGACTGGGCACTTTGCTTAGATCAATGAATTAAGCAATAGCTTTCATCAAATCATCTTGCGTACAAGTCAAATCGATTTTGATCGTGGATTTAGATATAATCAATCAAACATGAAGGGGATAATATGCTCAGAAGAGAATTGGGGACCCAATGAGGTGAGATGAGAGACTGATCAGAGAGAAACAGGGGAAAACGGATGCAGACGAAGTTTTTTATACATACAAGCTGCAGATCAACAATTTATATCTGGAAGTGATAGTTTTTTTTTCGTGCATTCTTTTCTTTTAACAAACAAAGAAAAAAGACATCTAGCATGTACAGGGAGATGCAAACAGAGAAGCAGAAAAAAAAGGAACATAAGAAAAATGCTAATAATTGAAAAACAAAAGAGGAAGAGACCAAATCAACCGAAGCTCTTAAGTTCAATGGAAGGCGGAGCGGGATTAGGAGAGTGAAGCCCGTCGGGGCCAGTAGCGGAGAGTCTGCCGCTATGCAGCGAGCCTCTGAGGGCCGATTCGAGGCTCGATTTCTGGTCGGCCTCCAGACAGTTCATCGCCTGCTTGAAGTTGACCGAGTCGAGCGAGGCCAGCTGCAAGACTAACGAGATCCCCGTCTTTCGTAGCTCTGGTAAGCCTTCCGATTCGATCACTTTTAGATAGAGTGGTAGGAAGATCACCAGCGCTTGTTGACCTACGGATTTTCCAAATCCATCATGTATTCTCTGATCAAGCAGATAGAAAGAAAAAGAAAAAAAAACACTCACGTTTTTCCGACGAGAGTAAACTGACAATCCCAGAAAAGATCTTGAGGATCTCAGCAACCATTGAGAATTGAATGGGTTCTATCTTCTGGGCATGTTTCTGGTCGTCCAGATTCGGTTGAGAGACTTTGAAGATAAACTCATAGAAGCTTGGGAGAAGGCGAGTGAGAGCGAGTTGAGTGATTGCAGAAGGAAAGCCGCGTTTGTTGTTTAAGATCAACGATTTCGAACAATGTAGGGCGGTTGCTCCGATCTATTTAATGTGATTGTTGGCCCATCGGGGACCGTCAGCATATCCCAAAGTTCTAGCTTTCGGTTGTTGTGCGATCTGAGTAGCTTACCTCTGTTGAGTCATTCAAGAATAATCTCGACAGAACCGCACAATAGTCTTCCAGTGCAGCTCGACTGATTTGAACCTCGGGAGGTACGGAGGTAAAGACGAGAACACACGCTAGAAGATTATTGCGAAGTCTCATAGATATCGTCGCGCTTTTCTCTTCAAGTTTCCGGGAAGCATCTTCAATGTTTTGAAGAGTTTGCGTGATAAATCCATGAAGCACGTGAATCAAACTCTTGGAGTCCGTGGATTTGGATGCGTCATTGTCAAGACTAGTCGGATTCGAGAATGCCCTTTCGATCAGCAATTTCAGTGCTGGTAAGGTAGGTCCTGCCAAGTCGATCACAGCCGAGCTACTACTACCAGTACCGTCATCTTTCAGGCTTTCTAATTATGATGATGATGATAACAAAGAGTGAAGTCAACATCACGATAGTGCTGTGTTAATTTGGAGGATTGAGAGGGATAACTTACCACTGTATAGACCTAGTAATACTCCATAAACTTGTTCCCGACTGGAAGGGGTACTTCGATCAGCCAAATCAGCACAAGCGGTGAAAGCAGCGAGAACCAGAGCAGCGTAATTGGCCGTGTTTTTCCGCGCTTCAAAAAGAAAGTCAAATGGAGGGATCAGATGAAAAGTCTCAACGAAGCATGGAAAGAAGTGATGACTGCGATCTGTAGCTAACCTTTAGAAGCGGCCATCGAAGACATTCCTGGGTTGGAATTGATCAGGACTTGGATGATCACCCTGAGACATTGATTGAGTTGCAGCCTTCGAACAGAGAAGAACCCCCGAAAAAAAAAGATGAGAAGAGAACGGGATCAGTCAAGATTATTAAAGAGCATGGAAAGATTACAGAAAAAAAATATTAATGAAAGGGATATGTTTCTCACTCTGCTTGAGAATTGTATTCGACTGGACCTGAGCCCGTAGAGCTGTGAGCGAGTTGCATGATACAACGGACGACCAAGACTTGAACTCGAGCGGATTCGGTAGCGGTCAACCGATAACACAAGTTACAGATCTCTCCAAAGACCGCGTTATCTTTTTTGAGCCCTTCGGATCCAACGACCTCGATCTGAAGAAGTGCGTCCAACGAGAACAGAGCGGTTTCCATCGTTTGGGCGGTGATCGAGGACGGATCTTCGGTCCCAATCGACGCCGTCGTCGCTGCTGCTTCATAGACCAATCCAAGTAAGATGTGGAAATGTAGCGCCGGTTCAATGCGAGGCTCGAGCGCTTCGGATGGCTGTTCTGGATTGGACAAGTCGACTCCATTCAGGGCTTGAAGAATGATCGGATTCTTTGCTTTGATCAATGAAGCCGTAGCTTTCATCATTTTGAGCCATGCATTCTCGTAATAAGGCAACGAGATCTCTCGATATAGGCCGCCTTGTAAGCTATCGACTGTCAAGGACGGGGAGCCCGAATTCGAACTCGAATCTTCATCCGATTTGAGGCGTGCATATTCTGTCAAAGAGGCTACCCAGAGTGGACACAGCAATGCCAAATGAGGTGTTATAACCCGACTAAGATAGGCTTGATGAATCGAAATCACTTGGAATTCGGCCCACGCTGCATAAACTGCTGTCTTGATCATAATCGATGCCGTTGCACTAAAGTCTTTCATTTCCCCAAGCGAGGTGATTTCCGACTCTGTAGGTTGAGAGAACAACATCCATTAGTTTTTAAGTTATTTCAAATAGGAGAGTTTACACTGACTGACCTCTACAACTTTCTAGAGCTGACGTTAATAGTTTCAAGATCCTACCCATTTTATCAATCTCCTTCACCACACCCGAGCCAACAAATACAGCACAGACTTGAATCGCAGATGCCAAAACTTCAGGAAATGAATCGTTGGAAAATGCTGGGGTGAGAGCAGCTGCGATCGGTGCTTGGTGTTGTTCCAACAATGGCGAATCATCAAAATCCAGATCACTGGATCTTTTGAAGTTCTATAATAGAAAGGAAGAAAAAAAATGAACGTGTTCAATCAAGTTGTGTTAGAGCACAGTGGATCAAAGGACAGAAATGAAGAGGAATGCTTCCGAGACTGATGTACCTCAATTACGTCACGTAAAACGTTCAAGCCCTCTAGCCTTATTTCCATGATATTAGCAGTCGAAGCGGTGAAGGCCATTTTGATCAAATCCGAAACTCGACAGAACATTAACTGCTTAAAGTGGGTAGAGAATCCTTTGGATTTAGCAGCTTGAACACTGAAATGTTCGACCTTCTTACTCCGGATGACTGTGAGGAAGACTTCGCGTAAGCATTGCAGAGCGAATAGTTGAGTTCGCCAACGAGACGTGGTCGCCCTGGCTTTGTTATGATGATTACTGCTAGAGCCTGAGGTCTCTTGTCCAAGATCGAGTCCCTGAGATTCTTCATCGATGAACGTCATCGCCGCCGGTCCAACGTCCTGGATTACTGATGCTTGGGCCGCAGTGGTTCGTGAGATGATTCGCATACATAAATCAATCCAGGCAGAGGGATTCGAATCCGCGGTTTGTCTCAGCCAACTCTTGATCGAATGTCGCACCCCTTCGATCGTAGGATCATCATCCAATATCGAAAATAAATTCACCACCAACTTGTCTCCGCCCAGCTTTGACATCACCATCGCATTTTTTTGGACTAGCTGATATATCGAATTGATCGACGCAACTTTCAGAGTTCTTCGATTGGATGATAGGTGCTTCAGTAGGGTTTGGACCAGCTTCTGAAGATTGATTGATTCGATCGAAAACATCATAAAGTGTTGGATTGACTTCAATGCTTCTACTTTAATGCCTTCGTCGGTTTCTTCATTCAATTCTTCGTTCAATAGCTGGATCAACGTTTTGGATTTTCCAGAGCTAGATAATTCAGGACCCAAAACCCCGATGATTGCATTCAAGATCTTGCAGAAGTTCTGATAACTCGGCAGACTAGCCCGTAAATTCACATAACCAACCCCGCCAGATTCAAGTTCGTGGGAGTCACTACAATAAAGCTTGACAACCATGCCCAAAGTTGAATTGAGGAAGGGTGTGTAGGAGAGACCAGCGGTATGAATGACTTCTGACAATGCCTTGAGAGCCCAGAAATGGACTGATGGATGTGGATCAGCACTCAAAGACATCAAAACATCTACAACCGTCTTGAGAGTGGCACCAGCAGAGAGTGATCCGACTTGAGTATATATTTGACTGAAAGCCAAAGCATATCCTGATCGAGAATCTGGATCAGTATTGGTGACAACTTGCGTCACACAATGCTGAATTTGAGATAGCATGAACGTATTTCCACCTAGAGCACACGCCCGACCAAAAGTTTGAGCTGCGGCGGCACGCAGACGAGGATCCGAATGAACGAGCGCTTCCTTGAGTATATCCTTCATCAGATTCACGACCGCAGGATCCCAATGTTTTGACTTTCCTAAAAACGTGGAGGACATGCACGATTTCGCGGCCAATAACATAGCCGTAACCGAGTTAACTAGAATCGCCATCTTTCGTCCCGGGTTTTTCTCTAGTTTACTCGAGTGACAGAATTTGGAAAGACGATCGATCAGCATGGATTGTTGATTGGTCGTCACCAGTGGGAAGTAAAGCGCGAATAACTCTAAGGCGGCGTCAACAGTGGCGGTCGTGACCGGCGGAGCAGGTAAGATAGCATGTGAGCCTAGTGTTCGGACCGGTCCATCGACTGATTGAGGGGTACAGATCACCAAGAAATCATGCTCATTGCTTTCGATACACGGTTGTTGTAAGATGGATGCGACTGAGACTTCAGCCAAATCTCGGTTTAACCAATCAGTCATCAAACTATCAACACTATTCGACATGCTCGCGTCGCCTTGTTCGCCGCTATTCAAACATTCATTTTCTGTCAACAAGCTGGTGACACCAAAGCTGAAGCCGTCGATCGAGTCCCAAACACTAGTAAAGCTACCCGTACTTGCGCTGATGGCTGCCTGGACTGATGATCCAGTGTACTTCTCCGGATCGGCAAACAAAGCAAGCGAGGTTTCTAGCAATGTCATTTGTAGTGATTCTACGGACGCCATTGAGATCTTACTTAGTGCGGTAAAACATTGGAAAACGCGCCTTCGTAACAGCAACTCCCAGTGTGCAAAACCCAGCTTGGAATTGGCGAAAACCGGTGGCTCCTGATCTGTTTGAGGATACCTTTTTTCGAATTCAGAAATAAATGCGAGCGCATTACTGAGCATCATCACGATTCTACGAGCAATGTCGAGCGTTACCAGCTTTTCGCCGTCGTGCTGTAAAAAACTAAGAATTAGAGTAAGAGTACATTCTCGTAGGTGCAAGAGGAAACTCCATTCCGCATCACTTCGGAATTGAATGTTGTTTGAATCTCTTGCTGCTGGGTTGGGCAGGGCGTTTTTCCACAAAATGAGTAGCTGAGGCAGGTGTGTTCGGACGAAATTCGGACCAAGGGTGGTCAGTGCGCTAATCAGGATCCATGCTACTTGAATTTCAACGATCGAGATGTGCAGGTCGTGAGATCCGCTTTCCTTCAACAATTGGATAGCCAGCGACATGATTTTGGAAGAGACGTCGAAGGAGACATATAGAGGCCGCAATGAAATCAAACTGATTAATCCTGCGAGTCCATGTGCATGTCCGATCGCTCGTTTGTGCGCATCCGACGGACCGCCCGGATGGCCCAAATGTAACAAATCCTTGTTGAGTAGCTCCAAGACGTGATTCAGTGTGTTCGTCAATTTTCCAGGTGCAACGAGACAGTAAGTTCGGAGACACAAAGCTGAGGAAATTTGCACTGAATATGAGGGATGACCCAGCAGACGGATGAGTGGATTGTAAAGAACTTCTTGGATTGGCTGTGTTGCGCAGCCAACTTGCTTGAGTAGACCAGAGACTTCATTGAGTGCAATCACCAGTGCAATTTTATTCGGAGGTTGATGAGTAGGCATTAACGCCGGCCACTTGTTGATGATAGATGACGAAATTTCGCGGATCGCAACGATCTGTCCCTGCTCAGAAAGAAGGCGCACCGAAATGACATCGCGTAGCAGAATGCTGGCTAGTTTTCGGGAGACCAACGCATCGTGCCTAGCGATAGAGGGTGTAGGATTCGTATAGTGTGATGATTTGCCACATCCAATGTTAAAAATGATGTGATTCATTATTTCGGGATAGAATTGCTCGACCCAATTGGTACCAAGGAGTGTAAACAGAGTGGCCTGTGCATCTATCAGTCCATTTCGAGCTTGGCGAGATGTATAGGGCTTGGAGTATTGAGTGGTGAGCAGTGAAAGCATCTCTTCAGGTGTCAATAGAGTCTTTCCTTTTTCCTCGGCTGTCATGGTGGTAGGGTATGGATCTTCCTCGTCCTGTTCTTGGCCTTCCTTATTCTTTTTGGCTTTGTTGTTTGTAGTAGGAATATTGGACGAAGTGACTGCAGATCCGAATACTTGAGTGGAGGCAAGCAGACTTGCGATTAGTTTTGATAAGGACCTTCGGGTATCGAAATCAACACCTTCGAGACTCTTGAAGCAGATTTCTAGACAAGCTTCTATGTCACTCAGAGAGCTTATCAAATTCAAAGATCTGTCTGAAAGAGTCAAAAGACAATCCGCACTTCCCCGGACGATCGAAAACGTTTTATCGGTCATCGAATATCTCAGTGTTTTCAGAATCTCTCTCGCTAGATTGTCGCTAGGTGAAAGGGTTTTCGAGCCGATAGTTAATGAGCAATTCAAACAAAATAAGGCTTGCGATCGGAGGATGGGTGGCTACCGAACATAAATCAACCAGGTGCGGGTCAGCAAAAAAAGATAAGGACACAAGAGAAAAAGAAGTGACCAGTAGTTACGTTGGTCGTTGTCTTGAGTACTCTCATTGAGACCATTACACTCTCTGCAAACTGCGACATGACTTGTGAGCCGTGCGCCTTCATAAGCTCGCCTACAACATGAAAGCTGGCACTGGAAAGCGGGAATTCAAGAACTTTGAGCCAAACAAAAACATAGACATAAAAACATAAAGGGACAGGCACATACATTCTATGAAGCTTATTATCGGGTGAGCCTTTGGGAGGCTCAGTACCAGCCACTTTCAGCAAGGCTGCGATTACATCGAAGAGTGTCCTCCGTTCGGCTCTATCGACTTATTGAGTAATGTTTTGTTTTGAACTTAGTGTGATCGTTTGTTTGATGAATGGGCCGAGATATTGTAGATGGCTTACACAATTGGACCAAGATCCTTGCAACAAGATGTCGAATAGGTCTTCCAGGTTTGGGGGCAGGTTGTGAAGTAGGTGCGACCTGTGTGATGATTCTAATCAGATCAGATTCGAGTTGGGCTTGGAGTGATTTCAAGGCAGACTGTAATTCGAAGAGGGTCAAGCAAATAGCAGAGACCGTCAGTCAATTTTATCTATCATTCAATCACCAGATAGAATAGTCAAGGACTACTGTTATTTTTCAGCTCACCTCTTCAGCCCTTTCGATATTCGAATCCAAATTCTTAAGCCAGTGCAGTAACCAAATTTCGCCCCGATCGACCAAAGTCTCAGTTGCCAGGTCTTCGAAATTTAATGGGACCAGCTTGGGTTGATTATCCGAACGGCTGGGCTCGTTGCTCCTAGATCCTGCCATGAAGAGGGGTTCCGGAGTGGTGAAGGTGGGTTGTGATGGTGTCGAAGGTGTTCGTATGATTATTTGGGTTGATGGTGAGTTTTCAGCGAAACTTTAATCGATCGATGAAATTCGAAGTACCACTCCAGCATTCCCCGAAGTGGCGGTGTCGGGGACTACACCCGACTCAGAATGTCAACTTCACGGTTCACCCGACTGTAGCATTTTAATTCAAAGGGACACTTTCAAAAGCACTTCAAAAATGTCAGATCGGCAAAATTAACATCAGATGCGTATCACCGGATCCACTCAGATAAATATGTTGTCGTTTGCTTGTTTGCACTTCTCAATCCCTTTGCATTGCAAGGACCGACCATCCGTCAGCTGGATGGGATCTGAGGTATGAGCGCCTCAGAGAGATGCAAGTCTCAAGATGAACATGACCGAATTTTTCAAATCTGTGGATTGAGGAAATCCTCCAGAGCAACTCTAGGCAAGCAGGAGAAGAAGGCACGTCCAACAACAGTGTCCGATAGTTGGGCGCACTGAATTAAACAAGTTTGACCAGCTTATGAAAATTCTTTGTTCATTGTTGATGATTGATGAGAAGATGTCCAGTCGATATGACCACCCGGCAAGGCCAACTGACTCCACACAAGAAAACTTGGATAGATACACTAAACAAATGGAAAGCTCGATTCATAATAGAGACCAAAAAGCTCAAAGCCAGTCCTGAATCAAGTTGACTCGGGCAGGCCAGGCTTGGTTTAGCCGGTCCGGTTGAGCAATGAGGGTAACCCAGCCAGCTGGTTTTCTTTTGACAACAGCATTGCTGGAAGTGTGCCTTCAGGACGATTCCTCAAGAGTATAAAGAGGTGGCCTATCCCCGCACTTGTTGGTTGATACCATCCCATCCCAACATACGAGAAACACTTACATCCCACACATTCTTTATCACAATCTTACTGTTACCTCATACCAGAACTTCCGGTCTATCAAACAAACAAGATGCACGTCACATCCACCATCAACCAGCTAGTCTTCGCCGGCGCCCTACTTTCGGTCTCAGCCGTCTTGGCCGCACCAGCGGGAGGAGTAAGTGACCCGAACACCCTAAGACAGACAATCTTCTCCGACACCCCACACTGACAGCTTTCCAACAGGCTATTGACTATTACCCAGATTGGGCCCCGAGCTCTTCGTCGAGCGGACGAGCATACAGCGATGGGCCGATCTCCAACCTGCAGGCCCCGGCCGCGTCCCAGGGCGACCTGGTATGTTTTCTTGACTCCTGTTCGCGAGACAGACGGTCTTAGAGGAGAGCTGATAGTGATGCCTATTTGATTGGTCAGTTGGGCGGCCTTCTAGGCGACGGACTCACCGGAGGACAAGACTCCTTGACCAACAATGGCCTCCTCGGCCTCGGTCTCAACGGCCAGCCCGGCGATGCTGTCGGCACTAACCTTCGTCTCCTCGACGGCGGATCATCTTCTGGGGGACCGTTGGGTGCTGGGCTTGGTGAAGGGCTCTATGGCCCATTAGGACAGGTATGCTCTCCATTCAGCACTTATCTTGTTCACCATCTGGCGCTCATCCATTCCCTTGCTTGCTTTCCTTAGCTCCTCTAAATGACTACCGGCTGTTCCTTTCTTGCACGTACAAAGAAACTCTCCTTCATTCTTTTCTCTCTAACTACATCCACAAAAACTGTACAAATATTATTGTTATAACCAAAAACAAAAAAAAAACATTGCATATCAATCAATCATTTCTTCCTGAAATCCATTCTGACTCACACGAAATGCTGAGAAACAACAGCAAACAAAATCCTGGCAATGTGTCACTGTGCCCCCGAAAGATGCCAGTAAAGAAAACCTGGAACCCAGACTTACCAGAAGAAACCAATGCACCCTTAATATTAATAAAATCCTAATTATAACTAACATCATGAGAAGTAATTAGTGTAAATAAGCCTTCAATCACTCACACAAATCAACATCAGGATCCAGGGTCCAAGAAATCACATCCACCGCGCCCACAAAAAAAAAACCAACACACTCTTCACACATCACTATACTCATCACAATCATGACATTACTGAAAAAGTCCCATCTCTGATCTCATTCTCTCACAGATTCGAATAATGTGAATGTTGAATCTGGATTTGGAGGTGTGTATGTCTGATTACAGAGAGACCCAAGAACAGATGGCACAAGCCAAAGGAAAGTGATGGTGGAACAGATGAAAGGCCCAGGATTTACCTCTGGGACACAGAGTTCATGGCAGGTATTATTAATCATGGATGGATAACCTGTAAGAACGTAATCCAAGTATGGAATGACATCCAATTCTGGACAGGCTGTGCAAGCTTGCTTAATTCACTCAAGAACAAAGCAACCTGATGCAAGTCAATTCTTATGATCTGCATGCACAAACTATTGAATACATAATAACTACACTGTACGATTTTGGTAAGGTCACATTCACATTGCCATACCCACATCCCTATTTGTTTGTTGAAACAAAAAAAGCATGATCAAATTGAATCCCCACGTAACCAATAAGGCCAGAAACCAGCAGAGTATCTGATTCATTTCTGTCAGCTGTGGATCTCCCGTAGAGACTAAGCTGGATAAGATTGGTAGTAGTAAGATATATATTACTACTAAGCAAAGACTAGATACAATAAGGGAGAAAGGTGAAAGAAGGGAATAAGAGATAATTTATTATTTATTTATTTAGTTAAATTTATATTCTTTTAAGAATAAATATAGCCGGTAAAGGAACACCTAGGCCTCTATTCCTAGAAGGTAGGAATAGGATCAATCAGATATTTATTGATTGTGATAATTTTTTATCCAGTCAAGAGACATGGATGGGTTATTAAAATCAAAACCAATCATTAGTTTAAATTTTGTAATTGTTTTAATTTTTATAGGGCGTTAATAAAAAAAGGGCCTTAATAAAAAAAGGGCCTTAATAAAAAAACGCGGTTTTTCCGCGTTTTGACGCGGTTTTGGCTGCGCGCAGCACACGCGGTTTCCGCATTTAGACGCGGTTTTTTAATTAATTTTTTATGGGTTATTTTTTGAGTTTTTTTGAATTTTTAAAATTGTTTCCTAGGTTTCAAAGCGCGTAGAATTTAATGGTAAAAACCATTTTCCATAAAAATGAGTTTTAATTATTAATTTTTTTTTCTACTCATTTTTTCCATTAATTGTATGCATACTTGTTTTTACCTTATTTTTTATGCTTTTTTGAAATTTTAAAATTATTTCCTAGGTTCCAATGTGCGTAGAATTTAATGGTGCAATCCAATTTTTTTAAAACTCAACAGTTCACTTTTAATACTCAAATTACACCCATTTTTTCACTTAAATTTTTAGAGCTTAATTTTCATTCTTTTTTGACATTTTAAATTTTTTTCCTACACTTTCAGACATGTATAAATTTATGGTAAAAATAATTTTGCACCAAAATGAGAACTACATCTTGTATACTGCATTTGACACCGTTTTGTTTATTCAATTCTTCACTTTTTCACTTAATTGTTTGCATACATGTGTGTACCTTATTTTTTATGCTTTTTTGAAATTTTAAAGTTGTTTCCTACATTTCAAAGTGTGTAGAATTTAATGGTAACATCTAATTTTCTTAAAACGCAAAGGTTCATTTTTAATACTGAAACTAGACACTTTTTTCAATTAATTCTTTACATGTTATTTCTCAATATTTTTTGACATTTACGTTTACACACGGTTTCTGCTGCGCACAGCACACGCGGATTCCGCGTTTGCACGCGGTTTTTAATTTAATTTTTTACCACTTATTTTTCGAGTTTTTTTGAATTTTTAAAACTGTTTCCTATGTTTCAAAGTGTGTAGAATTGAATGGTAAAAACCATTTTTCATAAAAATGAATTTTGATTATTAATTTTTTTTTCACTCATTTTTTCAATTAAATGTTTGCATACATGTTTTTACCTTATTTTTCATGTTTTTTTGGAATTTTGAATTCATTTCCTAGGTTTCAAAGTGATTAGAATTTAATGGTGTGATCCAAATTACATAAAAATCAATGGTTCATTTTTAATACTGCAATCAGACACATTTTTTCACTTAAATTTCTACAGCTTAATTTTCGTTCTTTTTGACATTTTAAATTTATTTCCCACACTTCAAGACATGTAAAAAATGATGGTAGCAACTATTTTACATGAAAATCAAAGATTGTTGTTGAATACTGTGTTGGACAGGTTTTTTGTTATGTTTTTTTAAATGATTTTTACCGGCTTAATTTTGATCATTTTTTGAAATTTCAAATTTATTTCCTGCATTTAAAAATGTGTAGAATTTAATGGTGAAGTCCAATTAGCCTAGAAATAGAATCTTCAATCTCAATAGATGAGTGTACCCCGTTTCTTGCATAATTTGTACTGTATACAAATTTAATTTGAATTCAAAATGAATAAAGCCATCAATTTGGAAACCATTCAAAATTTAGGAAATGAACTTAAAGTTCCAAAAATTAGGATAATTAAGTGTGTAAGAATTAATTAAAAAAACACGCCAAAGGCATTATTCTAGATACAATTTTTATTTTGATGCAAATTGATTGTTACCATCATTTTTAAAATGTCTGAAAGTGTAGGAAACAAATTTAAAATGTCAAAAAATAATGAAAATCAAGCTGTTAGAAATCAATTGAAAAATATGACCAATTACAGTATTCAGGATGAACCGTTGATTTTTATGGAAATTGAATGTTACCATTGAATTCTATACACTTTTAAATGTAGGAAACAAATTTAAAATTTCAAAAAAGCATAAAAAATAAGGTACACACATGTATGCAAAAAATTAAGTGAAAAAGTGAAGAATTAATTAAAAAAACACGTCAAATGCAGCATTCAAGATGTAGTTTTCATTTTGATGAAAAATGATTGTTACAATCATTTTAACCATGTCTTAAAGTGTAGGAAAAAAATTAAAATGTCCAAAAAGAATGAAAATTAAGCTCTAAAAGTTCAAGTGAAAAAATGGGTGTAATTGCATTATTAAGAATGAACCATTCATTCTTATGAAAATTGGATGTTACCAATAAATTTTACATGTATTGAAACCTAGGAAATAATTTTAAAATTCCAAAAAAACATGAAAAATAAGGTAAAAACATGTATGCACACATTTAATGGAAAAAATGAGTGGAAAAAAAAATTAATAATTAAAATTCATTTTTATGAAAAATGGTCTTTACCATTAAATTCTACACACTTTAAAACCTAGGAAACAATTTTAAAATTTTGAAAAAACTCGAAAAATAAGCGGGAAAAAATTAATTGAAAAACCGTGTGTGCTGCGCGCAGCAGAAACCGCGTGTAAACGTGGATTTACCGCGTTTTTTTATTAACACCCTTTTTGTAAGTGTTCAATTATTATAATTGTTTTTTTTTTCAAGAGTCAAGATTGAGTGGAAAGGAAAAGAGAAAGGGGAAACATAATACTATAAGATATCTTTTAATCTTGATTGAGGAAGGTGAAGGCTTACTTCAAAGAATCCGGAATGGTATATCAAGCAAGGAAACATGAATGGTTTGGGATATCGGTTGAGGTTGATCTAAAGAGGGAGAGAATAGAACACGAGTCGATCGAAATCTTTTAATCTCAAAACTAATTATATGGACACTTTGTAGAAAAGGAATTAGATAGAGTAAGACAAACTGAAAGATTTGTTTTCTGATGAGTTACACTAAGTAATTACCTTTTATTTTGTTGTCTCAAAGTAACTAGGAGAGGTAAGAAGATATTTTTTTTTTGCTGAGGAGGGAGGAAGGACTATTCCGGTCTCAGGTGTTGAATACTTTGTACCAGTCCTTCTTCCAAAGTTTGGTGTTGTTTGCATTGCCTTGATTTGATCATCTTGCAAGGCTGAAGTCATTCTTTTAAAGATTGCTTTCAATATTCAAAGGATTTGGTTTTCTTTGATTAATCTTAATTTCAAGAGATCACATCTCTGTGAAACCTCTAACATGTAAGTGAAATCTTCATTAATTTCAATATTATTAATTTTTATTTGTTTTAATTGTTTTGGGAAACCTTTAGGACATGTCAACATGTCTCTAAGGTTGACAATTTCAATATAAGAAGATCGCTATTAATTTCAATTATAGATTCATTACACACACACACGCCCACATGGGCAGAGAGAGAGAGAGATAACCAACAAGAGATAAACACACACAACCAAAACAAATTTAGATGATGTTGACGATGATGATGATGATGATGATGATGATGAAGGTAGTGAGACAAGAGGGATAAATGATACGGTTGTGAAGAAAGATGTGAAAAAGAAAGTCCGGGTCCAATTTGTGTTTCTCTCTCTCTCCCTCTCTCTCTTTCTTTTTTGCTTTCTCTGTGTCTTTCTCTAATCATCCAAAAAGAAAAAGGAAAAAAAGATGTTTGAACTTTTTTTGTGTTTATAAAAAAGAAATGAAATCAAGATGAAACCAAGCTTGAGAAAGGAAAAAAAGGAGACTTCTAGACGGTAGCGGTGATCTACAAAAACCACCCCAAAGGAAAGAGATAAGTGATCCAAAGCTCAACAAGGAAAGGGAAAGGGGAAGGGAAAGGAGGACGAACTTCGTTAGCTTTTTCAAGCGCGCCGATCATCTTGATACATTCTTTCCTCCGATTAACGACCACCTCGCTTTCTTTCATCAGGTCATCCAACACATCAGGCCTATACAACTCTACCAAACCAAAACACAATCAACCCATCAGCCGTCTGATGATGAGGCATGGATTCAGAGAGAGAGAAAGGGGGGGGGATGGTACCAGATAATAATTCGCGCTGTAAGTCGTCCTTCGAATGGGCTACTAACTTCAACATGATCGCTTTGGGTACCATATCGATTACTGTTCGTTTGACGATATTGAAGTACGAGCTAATCAAGACTAAGACCAATCAAATTCAGAGCGAAAGAAGATCAACAAGAGACTACTAAGCGGATTAAAAGAGAGAAAAACAAAAGAAGGACGGACGTTTGATGACGTCGGTCTCGATGACTTCGCGTTCAGAGAGTGTTCCGGAGGCCTTCAGAGTTTGCGGGGGAGGCTCCATGAGCGAGCTTCCGGCGCTCTTCCTCCGCGGCCCGGGCTGGCGCCCTTCCAAAGCTTCCAAAGAGTTGGGGTCCTGCTTCATATCGACATCGAGATCTCGACCGTTATTGATCGCCCCAGGCGGGAGTTTCCCGGCCTTATCGAGCGTTGCCGGGCCGGACGGCGGCGGCGGCTTGGCCGCCTCGATCTTCGCATTCACTAAGGCCATCGCCTTATGACCACTGATGAAATCCGGGTGGCCCGTGTTGATGTAAGTCGCCTCCGCCGCAACTAGGTCCGAGACGAACTTGTTCGTAGAGAGCATCGCCTTCTTGTAGAACGCTACCACCACCGAATAGAATCGCTCCTTGAGAGCAGGGTAACGTTTGAATCCTTGCTGTATGATAGTCACCAAAATCCAATTCAGAAATCAGACTTTGTTTTTTGGTTCGCTCCTCTTTGGCTTGAGATTGAAAGACTGACATTTTTATTGAGTAGCTGGGTCAGTATCCTGATTAGTTCATCATAGACCAACGAGGAGCACTTCAACGCGGGATCCTCGAGACGTTTGATCTGCTGTTTAACAATCACTTCGAATGCTGTTGTGCCGACAAAGAGCGCAGGAGAGGAGCCCTAAGAGAGGATACCCGAGAAGATCAGCGATAGTGGGAGAGATAGATAAAAAATCAATAGAGATACGAACAGATGAGTTGTAAAGGATCGTGCGAATATCGCCGTCTTTGACCTGGTCGTAGGGATCCAACTGTTTGACGCCATTACTGAAGAGTTCGTGGAAGACGAAGGCGATCCGGGCACCACCACTGAGCTCGTTGATGCTCAAATCGTTCGAATTCCCATCGATCACCGTCCTGAAATCCGAGCAGAACTCGGTGATGATCGATAAGACCACATTGCTTGAGTTTGGCTCCCCAAATTGTCCACCTAGTGCTGTCAACTCGGCTTGGTATTTCGCAAGCGATTGGCCGATCTTGTTCTTGATCTCGGGCAACGTGTTGCGGATGTGATGCATCAAGATCTGTTTGTTGAATGGGAGGGAGTGGGGGTCAGACTTGCTCGTATATTGGTCTGGTAAGATGAGGATATAAAGAGTTACCATGTTAAGTTTCTTAGCCAAGAAGGGGGTACCACAGTATTGGCTCTTGCTTCGATAACTCGAGTGATTTTCGAAGAAGTCTTTCTCGTTATCGAGTGCTGCAGTGATTTTCTTATTCTGTTCGATATCTCTCTGACCACGATTGACGACGGGGACGTATCCCAATCTCAAGGGGATGATCCTACCGGCAAGGATATCGACGACGTCGGTACCTTGGTCCATCAAGTCGACCTTAGTCAGCACGCCGATCGTTCGACTGCCCTCGGGGTCGACCTCTCTGGCTAGTTTGAGGCCGTCCGAGTTTGCTAGATCGGTGTTGGCGGCGGTGACGGCGAGGATAATCGAGTTGGGCTTGGTGATGAACTTGAAGAGCATGTCTTTGATCTGTTTCTCGATGTCCCGGGGCTGATCACCCACGGGGACCTTGGATAGAGACCCGGTAGATCGATCAAGGTGAGTGTTAGCACGTGAGGTGAGAAGACTCGCAGGTTGATCGGCAGGGGCGAAATCCCGCCATTCTTGCCGGTTTTGGTCTCGGTATCTCGCACGATCTCGTCTCGAATCTTGTTGAAGTCGAAGAACTTCTCTCCAGGTTCTTTTGTTTTTTTAATGAAAGCAAGCAATCAAATTTTAGATGATGTTAGATTTTGGCGTGTGGGGGTAGGTTGTTGCTTAGCTTACTGTGTAAGAATTCACCCCATTCGTCTGGGTTTTGATTTGAATCTTCACCTGGCTTGAGAGGCGTAGGGTTATCTGGGTCTGCAGGCTCGGCTCCGTTAGCAGTAGCGGAGGGAGGTTTAGCTGTGGCGGGTCGATTGATCAGTTGGAGGACGAGTGGTCTTCTAGTGACGATCCCAGCTGAGAGAGTGGGTGGTGGTCAGTCCTATGCTTGATATATGCTTGGTTTTTATTGAATGGCTCACTTCCTCTTGGTAAGAAATCTCTTCCGACCAAGTTTTCTAGGACTGATGATTTTCCAGATGATTGAGATCCGATGACGGCAATTTGGGGTAGATCGATCGGGTTTTGGACTCCGACCTTGATAATAGTAAGAGGTGTCAGTAGTCTTCGAGGAGAATAGAGATAAGCTTGTGCTCACTGATGAGAATGCATCCTGTAGTTTGTTGATCGTCTTGATCAACGACTGATCCATCGCCATCTTGTATGTGTGCTTGTTTTTTTTTTTTTTGCTTGCTCGAGTTAGTGATCTTATGTATATCTGTTTTTTGGGTTTGAAGGAAGTTGTTTCTGATTGTAGTTGGTTGGGTTGGGTTGGGTTGGTTGTTGGAAGTAGAAGAATCACTGGGTTGCTCTGCCCAGTTTTGGTGTATCCACAGTCACCACCTACGTCAGTCGTCTTCAGTTTTAGAGTGTCCACCCTTCAGCAGTTCGAGTACAATGAAGTCATACCCCGGTCACCGTGGGCATCCCCCCGACTATCGGGAGGACTCAATTATCGGGTTCAATCAATCCGTCCGCTGGGTTGACCACCGTTGTGCTAGTACAATCAATTGCACTGCTTGATGAGAACTTCGATGGACGCCTAGGACGGCTAGGGTCGGACAAGCATTGTCAAGAACACGCCGAACGCGCTGGCGGACATGAATGCAGTGGACGCAGGCTTACCGAGTGCAAGGGGAATATCCCGACGGCGCAGGATTAAAGGTATATCTTAAGTGCCTTATCAAAACGTTACTGTATTCCGGAGAGGGGCCACCACGGAGACCTTAACACGCTTGTGAAGTTGTACACGCACCTTTTATAACAAGATAAGCTTATAGCCAACCGGGCATTTGAATGCTTGTGACTCCGGAGATGTGGATGTAAATATGTTGAAAGGATTTCCCCTGACGGCAACTTGTCGAACGGGATAGATATTACATCTTCGCCCATTGTCTATCGAGTTGTGCCAAGTTTGAGCCTTCTATCCAGCGGGATTTTCTTTGGTCATTTGTGTCTACATAGCTTACATACCGGGGTGCTCATGAGGCTGATGAGCTGGATCTACAAACGCTTAATTCTTTTGCACTACCATGTAAATATAGCATCTCTCCGGGATCGTGCCCCCGCTCCAGGTTTCTACGAACTCTCCGGTTCAGAATGGCGTCCACAATCTATGTGTGCCAGTGCAGCTGGCTCGGGGGAAAGGGAGACGATCATCCCCGTGAGGACAGACCCGCGGGGACATCCTAAGACGAAAACGAGGTGCATGAACATATCCGGATCCGTCGCTGGTCACGGGGGTCCTCAAGTGACCGCCACCCGATCCGAGCGGGGTCCGGACTGTCCATCTGCTCGACAGGCTTTGTGCCGCCGAGCAAGCTCAACCTGCTGGGAAACCTACAACAAACCAAAACAACACAAACCAGAACAGAACAGAACAGAACAAGGTCAGTCATCATCATCTCCAGATAATCCACAAGACGAAAAATACCACACCATCACCGATCACACTCATCACACTCCTCAGTGGCCGTTCCGATGGCTTCCGCACCCTACTGACTATCTCGCTCGTTCTGTTTAGACTGCAATCCAAGCCAACTCAAGCCTCGATTCAACACTCAAAGATGGCAGTCAGTTCACTCTCAATTCTCTTGATTACCAAAAAAAAAACAAGAGGTTGATGGCTAGTTGTTTTTTTTTGGGGGGGGGGGTCTCAGATCACACGGATGATTTACAACTCGATCATGAAGCGTAACTCGACCTACGTCTCCACCATCTTTGCCGGCTCGTTCATCTTCAGCATCGGCTTCGATACCCTCACCTCCGCATGGTGGGAACAACACAATAAAAAGGTACTGTCTTGTTTTCTTCTGGAAGAAATCCGGGCTTGGACTTATAATATACCCGTCTGGATCTCTTTTCTTTTCTTCTTCTTAGAAATTGTGGTCGACCGTTAGAGAGAACGTATGTCGTGTCCACTCGTCTCAACC